GAGTTCTGTAGATGTCTGTTAGGTCTGCTTGGTCCAGATGTGAGGTCAAGTCCTGGTTGTACTTGTTAATTTTCTGTTCTCGTTGATCTTCCTGGAAGATCGAGACAATGGGGTGTTAAAAGTCTTCCACTATTACTGTGTGGGAGTCTAAGTCTCTGGCCATTTTGCAGGGGGAATGCAGGGGAGGAACACGGAGCATCTCAGGGGAGGCCCATGCAGGTCATGGTGGGAGTGGGCACAGAGAGGTCTTTGCAGACAGGGATCAGAGGAGACAAAAGCGAACTCAGGACCCAGACCCAAATATGTAGACACCCTGGGATCTGTCCTACGGCTTTTCCACCAGGGTAACTCACCATTCTTTCCCAAAGGATCTGGCTTTCATGAGTCGCAAATGGCAAATGGTTACGTGGAAATCCCTGTTCACATACTTGTGAGAATATCAGAAAAGACATTTTTCTGTTGCTTTTACGTTACACTAGGCCATCAGTATCTTTGTATGTTGCTGTTTTTGTTAGCTCCTTGCACCCGGGTATCTCTTATAGCAGGCAGCTCCAGTGCCCTGCCAGAACTTCTTCATACTTTACACAGCAGTACTTTTATAAGGGAGGTGTTTACGAAAGGTGAGAGTGAGTTAACCCAAAAAGGTCAAGGTATTGTACGCATTTCTCTGCAATGTCATATCAGAGAACTCATGCCTATAGTCCCATCAGAGCAGAAGCTCTGCCCTCACATCTTGCTATCAAAACTAACTTTCATAATCAAAGCTGTTACCCACAATGGTTCAGCCTTTTAATGCTGGTGGAACTTTGCATGAAAAATTTTATTTCCACTTCGGTTGTGCTACAGGAAACACTGTATGTGTCTTAACAGGCATAACAGTTTGCCATGCTGTCATAACACGGCATCACAAACTTAGGGCTTTGATAACAAGAGATTTTTTTCTCACAATTGTGGAGGCTAGGAACCTGACATCAAGTTATATGGCTGGGGTGTTTTCTTCTAAGGCCATTTTCCTTGACTTGTAGATGGCTGTCTTCCACTGCTGTGTTCACGGGATCTTCTTTTATGTTTCTGTACCGTTACCATCACTTCTTATAAAGACCCCAGTCTTACTGCATTAGGGCTCACTCCAATCAACGCACTTAACCTTAATTACCTCTATAAAGATCACATTTCCAAATATACTCCATTCTGAGGCGCTGGATATTAAAACATGAACACATAACATTTTGGGGAGAAAATGCAATTCGGCCCATAATATACACTAATCACCTTTAGGAAGGGATTACTTGGTGAAAGAATATGCATGGGGCAAACTTTAATAGGTACCGCCAGATTACTTTCCAAAAAGGCTGTGACAAGTATAATGTTGCTGGCAGTCTCTAAATATTTCTGGTTCCCTACATCCAGCCTCCCCTGAATGTTAAGACTTATTTTTTTTGCCAAGACGGTGTCTGTGTGGCAAAGAAAATCATGTAATTCCTTGCATTTCTAGTTGTTTAACAGATAAGTTTGAGTCACCTTTCAGTTATTTAATACTTGCTTGGGGTTTCTCTTCTTGAGTAATCTGCTCACATCCTTGGCCCTGCAGTTTACCAGCATTTGCCTCATTGCCAGATGAGGAATTGCTATAGCTGTTTAAGACTCCCCTTAATGTTCAAGAAAACAAGTATGTCCTTTAGGTCAAAGGGGCTATTGTTGTAAATCATCTTGCTCTGTGTATTCTTTCCAAACAAAAGGAGGTTTCTCCAAGGCTCTTTTCTTCCATGTGAGAGCAAACGGAACTTCAGGTAGCTTAGAGGAAAATTCATACCACTCTCAGTCTGCACATTCTCAATTCTGAACCATGTGCTTTCAGTAGCCATCTGATGTGCAAAAGCCTGCTTTTTCTCATCTCTACAATGAGGATGTTATTCAGGATTCACAGTAATAATGCTCTTCATACAGGCTATTAATAGTTTCAAGACCATAAAAATGTCTTGAAACTATTGATGTTTGAATGAGTCCCTAACCCCCACACCTCAAATTTTACTTTGGAAACCTAGAACCTTCTCCATACACATGTCCTCCACATGCATTGATGGATTGGTTTCCTGGTCTGAATTTCAGTCCCCAAAACACCTGAGGCTCATGCTATCACTGACTGTAGTTCCCACTTTGTCTCCTACCTAGTATAAAAATGAGTCTAAGCTGAATCTAGAGTAAATCTGTATGATGTGGACCACCAGGCAAGGGTTGGGAGATGCTAGTGAAGTTCCTGATTTCAGCTTTGCAGGCTGGGACCATATTTTTACCGTCTTCCTAGGCTTCTAGCCAGGACTTCGCCACAGCCTCATATTTCCTGGAGTAGCTGTTAAGAAGCTCAATGTTTGTTCTTTACAAGGCACAGTGATGATTGTGACCTATTGGCTTTTTTTGAAATGTCCCCAATATTACTGCAGTACTTTCAGCTGAACATTTCTTCTCTGAAAATGGATAAAAAGATAAAGCTTATAGGGTTCTTGTAGGGACTAATGTCCTGAGACATGGAAAGCAGTTCAACCATGCTTGGCTCCATAAGAAGGCTTCTGGGCATGCTGTGGTTGTTCATATTTATTTAATTTTCTGAATTTTACTGAAACTATAACATGCCCCAATGTCTCATGTCTCTTATTGTTTGGAAAAGCGTATCAAAAGCAAATCCATTTTCTGCATTTGTAAATGAGGTTTCATATTTCTTTTACCTAGTCTTTGTTCTTGACATAAACAAATAGTGGCATTGGGCTGTTTCAGTTACTGTAGCTTTGCAGTATATTTGAATGTCAAGTAATGCAATGCTTCTAAGCTTTCAGAATTTTTTGGTGCACTATATGAATATGCTATGTGAATAGAAATTCATATGTGAATTTACCCTGGTGGTGAAAAACTAGGACGGGGTCTCACATTGTATACAATATCTGAGAAGGTTCTGATTGAGATTTATTTAGTAAATACACATACATTAAGCATTTAGTTTGAATAGTCACATTTCCAGACACTTGGAATTATTCATTGAACAAAGCAATTAAGAGTTTCTGGGCCTCGATTTTATTTGGGGTGTCAGAAACTCAGAGGAGACATTAGATGACAAGAGAATGTAACATATGATACTTTGATGTCCTCCTGTAGATAGAGATGCATCCTCCTAGATTCTGATAAAGATGAAGGACCTCGGAACCAATTATAACTTTTAAGTGAATGTAGAAAAAAATTGAGAAAAATTCAGCCAGGCGCTGTGGCTCATGCCTGTAATTGAAGCACTTTGGTAGGCTGAGGAGGGCAGATCACAAGATGAGGAGTTCAAGACCAGCCTGATCAACATGGTGAACCCCATATCTCTACTAAAAATACAAAAATTAGCTGGACGTGATGGCAGGTGCCTGTAATCCCAGCTACTAGGGAGGCTGAGGCAGGAGAATCGCTTGAACTCAGGAGGTAGAGGCTGCAGTGAGCCAAGATCACGCCACTGCACTCCAGCCTGGGCAACACAGCAAGATTCCGTCTCAAAAAAAAAAAAAAAAAAAAAAAAAAAAAAAAAAAAAAAATTGAGAAAATTCAACATTATGACAAAATCTCAAAACAAATTACATATAGAACATACATACCTCAAGCCAATAAAGTCCATATATATGACAAATGGACATGTAACATCATGCTAAACCTTCAATACCACAAAGAATTAACTGAATGATAAAGCATGGAAACAAAAACCAAATAAAAATTGGCTGAACTCTAATTGAAATACAAAAATACGATACACTAATTAAATAAAACATAGCTACACACACATTGTAGAATTACTCACATCGTAAAATTATCTTGTGAGCATTAATAAACATGAAAATTATTCTTAGAATTCCTCAGGAATACAGAGAAAATTTCATGAATTTTGGAATGAGAAAACTACACATTAGGTTTAGTATGAACAACAGACAAGAAGAAAACAGAATTTGTATGAGAAGAGTCTGAGCCAGGAACTATAACATTTTAAAGAAGTAAATTCAATACAAAGCAGAGAATAAATATTTACTTTCAGAATATCTGAAATTCCTGCTTTGCTAGTAAATTATCAATACTTTTAAAATTATGTTTTGTTTCAGTATTTTTGTTTTCTTCCCCAAAAAGCTACACAGCTATACAAGCAATTACAAGCTCAATAATTCTCTTAAAGCTAACACTTAGGTTTAGAGTGATAGACTTATAAAATTAACTCCATGTTAATCAAAACTAAATGTGGTATGTGTTTTACAGGCAACAGGTCACAGGCTCAAAGAAAAATGTAGTATGACATTTGGTAAATATTCAGAATTTAAAATATATGGATTTTCATTATATTCCTTTATACTAGACCCCACATCCAATATGGGGAAAGCATTTCAACATAAGGTAAGGTAGAAAAAGCCAAACCATATAATATATAAAAATATTCTCCAAGTTGTTTGAAATTAAAAGCCACAGGGAAAAGAGATTACTAGAGATGTCATTTCATTGTTGCCAAATAGTGTATTGTTACTGTTAATTACAACTTTGGATAAGGTGGTATAGGTTAATTATGGTGGCAAGGTACACTTCATTTAATGCAAAATATTCTTAACACATCAAAAATCATTTTGTTTTATTAAAACAGATTGAATTCTAAAAATAGCATTTCACAAGCTGCTGTATTTTATTAATGTGCAACTCATTTGCTACTAAAATTCAAAACATTTTATTACTATAATGCAGAATACTTCTCTGAATGCCTAATGTGTCACTTACAACACTGTTATACATCAATAAGCATTTCTACTTAGATTTTCCTTATAAATCTTACATTTCAGTGCCCTTAATCATTCATGAAAAAGTGTATAAATGAAGGTTATCTAATACAGAATTTGTCATAGATGTTATACAGCAACAATTCACCACATGCTTTAACATAATAAAAATAATAAAATCAAGTTGAGATTTGAATTGCATCAATATTAAAATGTATATCATCAAAAAATATAAAAGCATTTAATGCAAAAAAGTATAACTTGAATGTAACTGTAACTTCAAAAAGGCATCATCTCTTGCTTCATTTAGATTTACCTACCATTAAATTATCTATTGTAACCTTGAATGATTCTCTACAATCAACACTACCTTGAAGTGACATCTGAAAGTGTTAGTGCCTTAGTACTTTCTACAGTAAATTATGTAATGTTTATTTAGACTTAATTTTGCACATTTGCTTATATTCACTGCATCTGTAAAATATATTCTATAAACGATAGTGTTTTCTGAGGCATATGTCTTGGAAAAATGTTTTTTCCACTTTTGTGTGAGGTTTTGTTTTCCCTGTAAAATTCTCTGAAGTTGAATAAAGTCTGAGAAATTATTTAAGGGTTTTCCTCTAGTACAAATTCTATTTACAGTAAGATTTTTGAAATACACAAAGGTATTATAATCCTTTACATTTGTGAATTTCATTCAGTATAGGGTGGTGCACTCTGAAGCTTAAATTTTGTGAAACATCCTTAAACAGTGGTTACGTTCATACTTTTATTCAGTGTGAAATTACTAAAGCCATGTATAATATGTGCAGTTTTTAAAGACTGCCACATTTTTTACATTTGTCAGGTTCCTCTCCAGTATAAATTATCTTATGCTTACTAAGAATTGAGGATTGGTAAAAACCTTTGCCACATTCTTTACATTTGCAGGGTCTCTCTCCAGTATGAATTCTTTTATGACGAGTGAGGCTTGAGAATTGGTTAAACGCTTTCCCACATTCTCCACATTTGTAGGGTTTCTCTTCAGTATGAATTCTTTTATACTTACTGAGGATTGAGGACTGGTAAAAAGCTTTGCCACAGTCTTTACATTTGTAGGGTTTCTCTCCAGTATGCATTCTCTTATGGCTACTTAGGTGAGAGTGCTGTTTAAAAGCTTTGCCACATTCTTCACATTTGTAGGGTTTCACTCCAGTATGAATTCTCTTATGTGGAGTAAGGCTTGAGAACTTGTTAAATGCTTTGCTACATTCTTTGCATTTGTAGGGTTTCTCTCCAGTATGAATTATTTTATGCTGAGTGAGGTTTGAAAATGGAGCAAAGGTTCTACAACATTCTTCATATTTGTAGGGTTTCTCTCCAGTATGAATTCTCTTGTGACTACTTAGGTGTGAACACCGATTAAAAGTTTTGCCACATTCTTCACATTGATAGGGTTTTTCTTCAGTATGAATTCTTTTATGATGAGTAAGGCTTGTAAACTGGGTGAAGGCGTTGCCACATTCTTCACATTTATAGGGTTTCTCTCCAGTATGAATTCTTCTATGTCTAGTTGGGTGTGAGCACTCATTAAAAACGTTGCCACATTCTTCACACTTGTAGGGTTTCTCTCCACTATGAATTCTCTTATGTTGAGTAAGGTTTGAGAACTTGTTAAAGTCTTTGCCACATTCGTCACATGAGTATGGTTTCTCTCCAGTATGAATTTTCTTATGGCTAGCCATTTGTGACCACCAATTAAAAAGTTTGCCACATTCGTCACATTTGTAAAGTTTGTCTCCATTATGAATTCTCTTATGCTTAGCTAGGTTTGAACATCGATTGAAAACTTTGCCACATTCTTCACATTTGTGTGGTTTCTCTCCAGTATGAATTCTCTTATGTTCAGTAAGGATCGGCCTCCGGCTAAAATTTTTGCCACATTCATCACATAGAAAGATTTTGCTTTTAGTTGGTGAACACTGAGTAACTCTATTATAACATTCTTTCTGCTTCTTACCCTCACTCACAGTTTTCCGGTCTTTCATTAAATGCAAATAGTTAAGGCCCTAGCTTCTATATCTTGTCAGTGTCACTTTTTGGCATAAATCTTTCATGTCTTGCTCTGGCAAGAGGTCTTGAATAAAATAAGATAAAATAGCTGAAAGAAATAAAAATAAAAACTTACCCAACTTACTTATCTCTAGTACATATACTTTACAAGTCTAATCAATATAATTATATCAGACATATTAGCAAGATGGCATAATAAAATACCACAGGCCCTAATTCCTTTTTGAACATATAAACTTAACAAAAATATACTGACAAAAACTCCGTTATTAAAACTACAAAATCTAGTTAAGAGTTTGCAACACCCTAGGTGAGTACAACTGGAAAATCCACATGGAATAGAAAGTAAAATTTGTTACATTTATATATACAGCCATTCCTCCAACCCAATACAGGATGGTGTCTTTAAGAGTAAACTTCCAACTCCTGGATTCTCCCTCAAAGCAAAAAAAAGTTGCACACGTGCCCGTATGCCTGGCTTTTAGGGGCTTTCCAAAGGTTGGTTTCTGTCTCCCATAACAAAGAGTGCTGAAAGAAATGGCAGTATGGTTTTAATGACAGCTTTGGTCTGCTAAGACAAAAGGTAAATAATTGTTATAGCAGCAGAGAGAGATCACAGTGCCACAGACAGACACCAGATGTAGCATATGATTACAGGTTTTTAGAAAGAAGCATGAACAAATCTCTTTAGCTGAAAAGTAAACACACAATTCCAGAGAATACAAATCATAAGAACTCTTGAGAGGCTCTAAGAGTCCCTAGCCTGACAAATAGCTATCAGCCTCCTCCAGGACAAACCCACTTATAAGGAGTGTGATAGGTGGCATTTTGTTAATGCCCAAATGTCAACCAAAGATTACAACATGTGAAGTTATCAAGGTAACACGGCCCAATCAAGGAAACAAATAAATTAATTCTAAAAATTAATTATGTATCTTAAAAACTACAAATAAGTGAAATGGGAACAAAGACAGTTGCATAAAATCAGGAAATGAGAGTATTAACAAAATAATAAAATATTTAATAAGAAACACAATGTGGGGCTGAAGAATATAAGAAAATAAATTTTTATATGTAAGTTATAAAAATATCAAGAATAAGCACACAAAAAGACCCAAAACAAGATACATTGTAAGCAAAATTTTGAAATCAAAGAGAGGAATACAATCTAAGCATTTTTCTATGAGATTATCTGTGAATTTATCAACAGAAACCTTGCAGGGCAAAAGGGAGTTAATTAGGGTGCTGAAAGAAAAAAAAAATTTCAAGCAAGAATACTATTAAGACTAAAACTCTCCTTCAGAATTAAGATGAAGAATTTCCAAGATAATCAAATGCAGAAAAACTACATCACCAGTATAACTGTCCTATAGGAAGTGTAAAATGGAGTGCAGCCCATTGAAAGTAAAATGTGTTATTAAACAAAACAATTGTATACAAATACATAACTCTCTAGGAAAGATATACACATACACAAAAATAAAATTCTGTAGTTTTATAATGATGGTGCTCTTTTACTTATGCTCCACAATTTGAAAAAAGCATGAGAATAATAAAAAACATTTGTTGATGTATATATAATATGAAAATATATAATTAGCCACATCAGTAACATAAGTTTAGGTTAAATATAATGAAAACAAACTCTGTATGCAGCTGAAGTTAAGCTATTGCCAGTTAGTTTATATTGTAACTTCAGAAGTTTTAGTAATTCTCATTGTAATCACAAAGAAAATACCTATAGAGATATACACACATAAACAAACAGAAAAAAGAGTAGAAGCATGTCACTAAGCTCAGAAAAACATTGAAAGACAGAGAGAAAAGGAGGAAAAAAACGGCTCCAAGAATCCAATAAAACAATAAATATCAATAGTAAGTCATTATGTTTTAGACAACTAATTAAATATTGATCAACAAAACTTGCACGTCAAAAGACTAAATAAAGAGATTGGGAAAAAAATTTTTAAATAACAAACTATGTCTTGCCTCTAAGAGACTACATTTAGATCACTGGAATAATAGACTAAAAGTACAAGGAGAAAAAATTCCTTGCAAATGGTAACCAAATGATAGTTGGAAAGGTAACAATTATATTGGGCAAAGTACATCATATGTCAACAACTGTTATATTTCACAAAGTATACTTTAAGCCAAAATTGTTACAAGAGAAAATATGAACATCAAATAATAATAAAAGGGTTCATTTATTGGGAACATATGTAATTTATAAGCACTCATGAATACAAATAAGATTTAATGAGAACATATGTTCCCCATCAGGGTTCCCAAATATATGTTTGTTTAAAAATTATACACTAATTTGAAATGCGGAGAGAAAAATAAATGGAAAGTGAACCCATATAGGAAAAGTCAAATCAGCAAGATGTTGGAATAGGAGGTCATCTTCTTGTGTATCTTCCAAAGCAACAATACTTTATCAGCCATCTATGGACAAAAGTGTCATTGTGAGAGAGCCAGGCACCAAATTCCAGCTATTTGAGAGGCTCGGGCAGACAGATTACTTCAGGCCAGGTGTTTGAGACCTGCCTGGGTAATATAGCAAGACCCTGTCACACAAAAAATACATTTATGATGGCTTTGAGATTCAGGGAGTGGGTTGTAATATGCTTCTAAAAGCATAAGCCCAAGGAAGGTCCTTTTCAGAAAGCAAGTCTTCCTTCAGGTGGCAAATTTGAGGACCCCTGGTCTTGGCTACAGAACAGGAAATGGCCCATTTGACATGATTCCACTTAGAATTCTGAAATAACACTGTAACTGTCAACTCCTCCCAGCCATAGTCAAGAAGAGGGCCTGCACATCCAGAGAGCAAGGGTAAAATGCTCATTGATGGCTACAGATGCAGAACTGCAGACCTTGACATTTACTGTGGTTCTAGACCTTTATCTACATTGCATGGCCAGTACTGTTAAAGTGAGACCCACAAAGTGAGCTGGCAGAAACCCTGCAAGTATTGTGTGGGAGCCACACACATGGAAACACTTGGTATTAGGCCAAGTGTCTGCTCTACAGGTCAGAGTGCTGAAGACAACTCAGTTGGCCAAGGAGTAAGAAAATTCACAAGCACCCAAGCCCCTGGAAATAAGCACAGCAAAGGCAGACCCCATTGTAGACCCTGAAACAACCTTAGGATCCTGATATATCCCCCCTCTACTGTGAACCCACAAAATATCAGCCTGGGAACCCAATAGGATAAAATCTTTACCTGTATAAACCAGTTTATAAAAACTGGAAGAGGTGTTTCCTCCTTCAAATGCACAGACACCAATTCAAAGTGATATTGTGCCCATTATCAATGCTTCTATTTTAACATAGTCCTGGAAGTCCTAGACAGAATAATTAGGCAAGAAAAAATTTTTAAAAGCCATAAAAATTGAAAAGAAGTAAAAATATTTCTACATCTTATATGTAGAAAGCCATAAGTAAGAAACCAAAGTCTCAGTAAATTAGAATATAAAAGACTATACAAATAACAGTTTGTTTTTATACACTAACTGCAAACCATCTAATGAAAAAGAAAAAACCTTGGCCGGGCGCAGTGGCTCATGCCTGTAATCCAAGCACTTTGGAGGCCAAGGTGAGCGGATCACCTGAGGTCAGGAGTTCAAGACCAGCCTGACCAACATGGTGAAACCCCGTCTTTAAAAAAAAAAAGAAAGAGAAAACCTCATTTACAAGAACATCTAAATAAATTTCTTAACAAAAAATTTAAAGAACTGAAAGATCTTTATATTGGAAAAGAAAATACTGATAAACTGAAGAAAAAAACAAATAAATGTAAAGCTATCCAATGTTTATGAATTGGAAGACTAATTATTGTAAAATGCCATATTATCCAAAGCAACCAATAGATTCAAAAAACTTCCTATCAAAATTCCAGTGGCAATTTTTAAAACAATACAATTTTGCAATTTATAAAGCATTACAAGACACTGAATAGTGAAAGCAATCTCAAGAAATAAAAACAAAGCTGAGGGTATCATAATTTCTGATTTAAAGCTCTATTTGAAAACTATGGTAAAAAGAGCATGATGTTATACATACAAAAAATGAAACAAGAAATGGAACAAAATAGATGAGAAATAAACCCATGCATAATAAGATCAGTGAATCTTTAACAAGGGCATCAAGAACATACAATACTTAAAAGATAGTCTCTTCAATGACTGATGCTGGGGAAAAAGAATATCCATATGCAAGTGAAATTAGACCATTTTTTCTTACACAATACCAAGAAATTAAAATAAAGACTTAAACACGAATACTTAAAAATCTTAAAACATTTTTAAAACTACTTGATACTGGTAGTGGTAATGATTTTTTGGATATGGCACCAAAAGTACAGCAACAAAAGCAAATATAAACAAGTTGGACTACATGAAACTAAAAAGCATCTGCACAGCAAGAAAAACAATAAAATAAGAAAACCTGCAGGATGAGAGGAAATATTTGCAATCCAAATACCTGATAAAAAGGGAGATATCAACAATATATGAGGAACTCATACAGATCAAAGGAAATACAGTAATAATGATAATAATGATCAAATTGAAAAACAGGCAAAAGACCCAATAAGTGTTTTTTCAGTGAAGACATACAAATGCCAACAGATACATGAAAGAGGGCTGAAAAAAAATTTGTATGTGTGTGTGTGTGATAACATTTTGACAACAATGTGAAGAAATAGGCTGGGCGCGGTGGCTCACATCTGCAATCCCAGCACTTTGGGAGGCTGAGGTTGGGAGATCATCTGAGGTCAGGAGTTCAAGACCAGCGTGGCCAGCATGGTGAAACCCCATCTCTACTAAAAATACAAAATTAGCTGGGCGAGGTGGTGCATGCCTGTAATCTTGGCTACCTGGGAGGCTGAGGAAGAAGAACCACTTGAACACAGGAGGCAGAGGTTGCAGTGAGCTGAAATTGTGCTATTGCACTCCAGCCTGGGTAACAAGAACAAAACTCCATTGCAAACAAAACAAACTATGTGAAGAAACAGAAATACTGTACTGTACACTTTAAAAGTTGTCAATTGGTGATATCATTATAAGAACTAGTATGAAGTCTTTTAGAAAAAGATACAAGTACCATAAAATTGAGCAATCCCAGTTATGTGTATATAACCGAAGGAAATTTAGTATCTTAATGAAATAAATCTGCATCTTCATGTTTATTACAGTATCATCCACAATTGCCAAGATATTACAATAACCTGTTTTTAGACACTAAATGGATAAAGAAAATGTGGTTTACATACACAATAAATATTATTCATTCATAAAAACAATGAAATTCTGCCATCTAAACAACATGGATGGGCTAGAAAGACATTATGCTAAGTAAAATAAGCCAGACACCAAAAGACAAATACTGCATGACCTCACTTATACAGGGAATCCAAAATGTGAAACTGGTAGAAGCAGAGAGTACAGAGGGAGTTGGAAGGACCTAGAAGTAAATAAAGTGGGAAGGTGGTGTTCTGTTTTTGTTTGCTTGGAGACAGAGTCTCCCTCTGTCACCCAGGCTGGAGTGCAATGGCAGGATCTCAGCTTGCTGCAGCCTCCGCTTTCCAGGATCAAGCAAATTCTCTTGCCTCAGCTTCCTGAGTATCTGGGATTACAGGCACCTGCCACCATGCCCAGCTAATATTTGTAGTTTAAGTAGAGATGAGGTTTCATTATGTTGGCCAGGCTGGTCTCAAACTCCTAACCTCAAGTGATCCGCTCCCTTGGCTTCCCAAAGTGCTGAAACTTTTGTTCGGTTTTAAGATGAATAAGTTTAAAAGATCGAATGTGTAACTCCATGACTACAGTTAATAATGTCTTGTATGCTTAAAATTTGCTAAGGCAGTAGACATTAGGAATTCTCACTCCAAATCAATTTGAATGTGTTAATTATAGTACGGTATGTACACATATCAAGTTTTTATATTGGACATATATAACTTTTATTTGTGAAACTTGTTACACAAGTAAATATATATGCATACATGTATGTGTGTACGTCTCAGTAAGCTTAGTAGTAAATAAAAACAAATTTAAAAGTTATTCAAATATAAGGTAAAAGATGGGAGTTTAATATATGCTCAGCAATATTCCAAGCTCCCTAATAACAGTATATTTTTAAAATCTAGGCAGTAGATATATTAAATTATATTACTGTTTATATTATAACAATGTGGGCATAGTTTGCCAATCTCAGTTTTTACTTAGAAAATAAAATTTTGAAGTAAAATAACTTTAGATTTTCTTATATTTAGTGTTCTGACAAAATCACTCAGTATGAGCTTCTGTAAAATCACATTTGAGACCTCCATAGGATAGAAAATAATACATGTTTGTGGTGTTCCTGGGGTTTCAGATCAAATGCCAATATGCCACTCCTTTCACAAATTTCAGACAAGATGCAAAAAGGGAATTAAATGGTATAAAATAGAGTTCCTTACAGCCGGACATGGTGGCTCACACCTGTAATCCCAGCACTTTGAGAGGCCGAGTTGGAATGATCACCTGAGGTCAGGAGTTTGAAACCAGCTTGGCCAACATGGTGAAACACTGTCTCTATTAAAAATACAAAAATCAGCTGGGAGTGGTGGTGTGCACATGTAGTCACCTCTACTCAGGAGGCTGAGCCAGGAGAATTGCTTGAACCTGAAAGGCAGAGGTTGTAGTAAGCCATGATTGCCCCACTGACTCCAGCCTGGGCAACAGAGGGAAACTGTCTGAAAACAATAATAGCAACAACATGACTCTTGGCTGGGATGATCCAATTACCAACCTAGTACTATACTCAAGAGGAAAAAAAGTTTTTTAGAAGGTTCTAGAAAATTACTCCAAAAATAATATTTTCTGACATTAAGTTAAAAAAACTTTTCTTTTTGAGACAGTGTTTTGCTCTTGTTGCCCAAGCTGGAGTGCAATGGCACGATCTCAGCTCACTGCAACCTCTGCCTCCCAGGTTCAAGCAATTCTCCTTCCTCAGCCTCCCCATTCGCTGGGGTTACAGGCACGCACCTCCATGTGTGGCTACTTTTTTTTGTACTTTTAGTAGAAATGGGGTTTCACAATTTTATCCAGGATAGTCTTGAACTTCTACCTCAGATGATCTGCCCACCTTGGCCTACCAAAAATGTATAGGTTCCTAGCTCCACTACCCAATACTACTGAATCAAAACTTGGTAGTGTAATTAGATTTTGAGGTGTGAGCAGCAATATCTTATGTCACTAAAGTTCTGGAATTACAGTCATCCAGAGTAAGAATTCAAATTACCTTAAACTTTATGTCAAGATTAAACATTGTGAACACTTTATACACCAATAAATTCCCAAGTTTTCCTTAGAAGCCAAGATAAAAATTCATTCATGCAAATGATAAACTCTCAGGTAACATTTTAGAAGTGAAAAATATAAAATCTGTAGTGTGAAGAATAAGTTGTGTGTTGAAGTTATCCTCACCTAGGGAAACCAGGTTTCTATAGTTCTCGAACATCACATCCCTATACAAATTTCGCTGAGCAGGGTCCAGGCATGCCCACTCCTCTGGAGAGAATTCTGTGACCACATCCCTGAATGGCAACAGTCCCTGGGGAAGAAAAAATACACACATATTTACAAAATGTGCCATGGACATAGTTTTTAGTTTGATTCCAACTGAATTGAAGAGAGTGAAATGAACTTATTCTAACAGAAATTTTCCAGTTAGAGTGCTTAAACACAAATACTTTCTAATGCATTGTTACTCTGAGGAAAGAAGACGGCATACAATCTACAAAAGCAGTGTAGATGCTGATGGGATTTCTCAGATGGAAAAATCATCTGAAGTGCCTCAGATTTTAATGCATATAGCAAGAAATTGGAACTCTTAAAAATGTAGATTTTGATTCAGGAGGTCTGGGCTGAAACCTGACTTTCTGAATTTTGAACAAGTTCACCTGTGATACCAATGCTTCTGAACCAAGGAGAACATTCTGACAAACATTAAGTGGCAGGGCCTACATTTATCTTAGTTAATTTGACCATTACATGAGAGCCTTCATTTTCCAAAACAAAATATATGCCAAATAATCTAAGAAGAAAGGAGAACTTCCCAATTAAACTTGATGGTTTATGCACATCAGTTATTAATCTCCATAATGTACTTAATACTGAGAAAACTAATTTGCTTTATAGTGAAGAAATCTATCAGAGAGCAACTTAACCTATTGCATAAAATTAACATCAACTGTAACAAAACTGGCATCAGGTTTAAAAATACATAGGAGGTGGTTACAACATCATTGCTAGAATAGCATAAGTCAAAAAAAAAATAAGATCTAAATCTAATCATAACAAAATCAGTTTCACGCAAAATTCAATCAGTTTTCTTTTAATCTAAGGACCCAAATCCATCTCCAGTGGGAATCTTGGACATCCACACCTTCCCACGTTCAACACATATAAAAGAAACATTCATTTTACAGGTTAAAAATTAGTAGTAAAGATTGCTTATGGCACTTCAAAAGCCTGAATGGATATAAAACATTAATATATAGGAAATATTTTTCAGAGCCCCCCTGAGTATCATAAGAAAAATTTAAAAAGTACTTCAAATAAATGTATTAGGCAAAAATGTTACAAATAGAGAAATAAAAGTCTGCAAGTTTTAAACACGTGACATTTCTGGAGAAACAGTTGACACAGCCCCTGACCTGGTAGTTTTTTACCTGAGAACCAGCCATTTCTTCCTCTTTTTCTGATTTCTGTTCATATGAAATTATTTGGACAAATCACACATCTTGAGAATATACCTTTAGAAATGTCAGCAGAACTCCTTCACCTGCTACAACCACACACACAGGCAGAAGGACCTTGAAGTGCAAAACAGCTATTCTCCTGTTTCTTCATCATGCAAGACAGGAACAATGAGCTCCTACATAAAGGTGACAACGTGAGTTTTCCTTTTCCTGCTACCAGGTGCCCTTCTCTGCCATGGAAGCCAACAATTTTGCCTATTATGATAAAAATACTGGCTGCACTGACTTGACCACACTAAACCAAAGGAGAGCAGGCCCTTCTGCAGGCCGAACTCAACCTTACAAATATGTCTAAGGGCCCTCATGCTTAACCCTGGCCTTATCTTAGGATCATATGGTACGAAACTAAAACATCAGCGTTCTTACCCAGGTCAATACACAGAACCTGTGGGGAGGGTACAAGTGAGAGTATTTCTTTCAACTGGCCATGTGATCCTAACTGAGAGCCACTTAGCTAAGCATTGCTTATGAAGCTTCAATGTGCATATATAATTTGCTATTCAGAGCCCCACTTTAAGTAATGTGATTCTGTAGGTTTGGAAGAGACCTATAAACTGGCTTCTGTTCATGTGAATGTTGCTCCTCCTAGGCCCATCATGAGTAGCACTTAGCTAGGAAAAACAGGCACAGCAGAGTCCATTGACACAACATTCTTAGCCCAATACAAATATTTATGATCCAAAGTGAAGACCACCAATCACAATTCGGAAACATGGCATTGTCTGCTGGCCCTTTAAAGACAACCACAATGTCTGAGCAAATCTCCATTTGGGAAACAATTTGTACATATACATTAATGCAGTGTTTAGGGAGCATGTACTATGTGCTTGATAGTACATTACAAAGCACTAAGTGGGGAACCTCACATTATGTGAGTTAATCTATATAAAACGCTGGGAGGTAGGTGCAAAATGTCTCATAATTGCCAGGTGTAAATACAGGGAAATCCTTTCTATTACTTTTTCCATTTCTCTATCACTGATTTTAATAAGAAAATGTATAGGCTGGGCGCAGTGCCTCAAACTTGTAATCACAGCACTGGGGGAGGCTGAGGCGAGTGGATCACCTGAGGTCAGAAGTTCGAGACCAGCCTGGCCAACATGGTGAAACTCCATCTCTACTAAAAATACAAAAAATTAGCTGTGTGTGGTGACAGGTGACTGTAATTGCAGCTACTTGGGAGGCTGTGGCAGGAGAGTCACTTGAACCTGGAGGCAGGGATTGCAGCGAGCCAAGATCATGCCACTGCACTTTAACCTGGGTGCCAGAGCGAGACTCTTGTCTCAAGAAAAGAAAAGAAAATGTATAAATAAAAGCTAAATATTGATGAAAGACACACAAAGTGTGGCATATAGGTCAGAGAAACTTTTTATTATTGTGTTGGGAGAAGGTCTTGACATGCGTGTGATGGAGCATATGTTGTTTGCTGAGAGTGACTGCAAGGACCACTGAGCCATCCTCAGGCAGAAAACTGCTAGAATAAGTTAGTTATATGTACTGGTCATGCACTAGTTAAACCAGTCCCCAAAACACAGGATATATGACCTTGACACCATTGCTGACTCACAAAGAGTGCTTTCTAGCTTATTTCTATTTTAGTTGTGAACAGGTACTATCTGCCTGTTTATCTTTATTCTATAAAGAAACACTGAGTACCTGCTTATTAAAAATAATCACTTGTTCACAAAGAGTAAATACATGGGTCAGAGTCTGCTCTGGGCTTTCAGCTGGGAAACGCTGTCAGTCTCCTGAAGGTCCCACTCTGAGCCCACTTTTGCACTCTGTCTTTGTGTCTGTTTCTTAATTCCGCCATCGCCACCTGGGTTCGGGTCTCTATGACTGAGCTGGTCTCAGCATTGTTGTATTTATATTTAGTTTTTTGTAAGTTAGAGAGCAACTACTGGATCTGAAGAAATAGAAAACAGGTTTCTGAGTAAAATGTTTTTAGAACAAAGATTTTAATTAAAAAAATAAAAATTAAGACCCCCAAAATATACAGTCTTTGCCTCCCATTTATTTATTTGGATTTGGGGAAATTGTGGGTACTAGCCTTGGGGAGGCAGCAGGAACAGCTACTCAAACCCCTGATCTCCTCTAATCAGTTCTGTGAGGGGAAATTCCAGGGTAGAAAAATATGTAGAAAAGGTTTCAAAAAGGGTGCATCTGGGCAGGGCTGGGACCCTGGGCTTCACATCTTTATACCACTGGCTTTCAATTATGTCTTTTCCTTTGGCTGCCTATGAGGAACTTGACTTCCACAGTTTGTGTGATTTTAATTGTTTAAGCCAGTTCTCTATTCTGTAACATAACAATAAATATAAACCTTTAGAATTTTCTGACACTAATATATTAGAAGATAAACATTTTATTCCCAACAAGGTAAAGAGCATTACTGCCACCACCACTGCTGCTGCTGCTCCTCCTCCTCTTCCTACTACTACTACTACTAGTACTAGTACTACTACCACTACTAATTCTGTTCAAGAATGGCCATTCAGGAAGTGATATCAGAACTCACAATAACATTAGGGAAGTAAGGAGCTCAAATGAAGCCCAAGTTCCCTGTTTACCCCTCTCTCTATTTTTTTTAAAAACTGGCAACATGTTTTCTAGACTGAAAGTTTCTAGATGATGGAGCCATGACTGCTCCATTTGCTTTTCTAATAGCAGTATCAAATGGAAGCAATTGGTCTACATATTAGTTTGCATCTCCAAATCTCCTCTTTGTTCTTTATCCAACTACCAGGAAACTGAAGAAACTCCCATCTAGGTACCAACCAAGAAGATTCATTCTGTGAGGGGAGAAACAACCCCTAGTTGCCTTCTCTTCCACTGAGATGAACGCAGAATACAACCCCATCATCAGTCTGCACAGAACATCCTTAAATGTCTCACAGAATCTCAGATACTGATGAGAGGGGTTCTAGTAAGGCTAGGCTGACGTTCCCATTGTGAATCAGGCATGAACAATTCAAGGTATTCCTATGAGCCTGAGCATGACCAGCATCACCAGTGCCAGTGAGGCCAGAAAAACAATAAAATGTTGCACAGGAGTGACGAACTCTAAATTTAGAGGAGTGGGTACCGCTAGGGACAGGTAGAGGAATAAGCCTGTTGGGGGAGGTTCTGGGGGCTTTATTTCATATATAAGTTTTAGTTCATGAAACAAAAGTCTGAAGCAAGTACCACTACATATGAGTATGTTCTGATAACCCCAGAGAGTGGTACCCAGGTGTTTGGCATATGGGCTCCTTCAGATTTATGTATGTTTGAAATACTTACTTTGAAAAAAAAATAAGCAATATGCTTAATATACAATATATGGGTTAAATGTTAAATTCTTCTGAGCTGATGAGAACATTACTGAACTGGTATATTTAGCACAATAATTACAGTAGAAGGAGAAAAAATATAAAACACAAATATAATTAAACATGTGGCAAGTGAAATGAGAGGGAATGAAACAAATCTAATTGTTTTTCTAGAATATATTAAAAGAATTAAAGTAGGCTGGGCACGGTGCCTCACACCTGTAATCCCAGCACTTTGGGAGGCCAGGGCGGCAGATGACCTGAGGTTGGGAATTGGAGATCAGCCTGACCAATGTGGTGAAACTCCATCTCTACTAAAAATAAAAATTAGCCGGGTTTGGTGGCACATACCTGTAATCCCAGGGACTCAGGAGGCTGAGGCAGAAGAATTGCTTGAACCCAGGTGGCAGAGGTTGTAGTGAGCCAAGATTGCACCATTGCACTCCAGCCTGGGCAGCAAGAGCGAACCTCAGAAGTATGATAAATACATTTTTAAAAAAAGAAAGTACTCAAAGAGTTGGTGATTTATAAGTTTTTTAAATTGAGCATCAGACATAAATCCTTGAATTCAGAAATGCAGTGTGTCAAAAAAAGAAAAAAATTACTTAAAAGAAGTAACAGTCAAGGTGCATAACACCAAAGAGAAGGAAAACACTAAAAATCAGAGGAAAAAAAGAGATAATTTACAAAGGTGAGACCAAAATTTTCACAGCCTGAGTACTTTAATGTACTTCTTTTCTTTCCCCCCTTGAGTTGGCTTTACACCATTACTTTTATTTCTTTAGTAGTTCATCAAATTCAAATTTACAATTCATAAATATGAAATATAGAAGCCAGTGCTTGCCAATAAAAGAAAAACCAAAATGCTCATCAAGAAAAATAACAACAGACGCAATAAAGATGAATGCATTTGTGTATATTTACTTAGGAAATAAAGGTTAAAAGAAACATCTGGCTATCAAGAGCAAAACTAAAGAAAAGAAACCCTCATGTTTAAAGACAAGATTGCTATCACTCTTTCTTCACTGTTTACTTCACATTATCCTTTGCATAGATGCATGAGATCCTCAAAGGTCAAGTGCAGCATAATTTCAGCTGCGTCAACGCCCCAGCGAGCCACGGGCCCACTAAATGAGTTTTTCTTTTCTATGCGTAGTACCGGCTCCATTTAGAGACTCACGTGCCGCGGCGCGGAGGGCACATCGGCGTGACCGACTGGCCGGCTGCCGGAGCCGAGAGCCGCCGCGTCCATCCCCGCCCGTCTTGCCGGGGACCCGGATTGAGTCGTCAAGCCGCGCCCTTCGCCCCTTGCCCCAGCAGGCGCCGGGCGGGCGAGCAGCGCTTCGGCCCTTCCCGGACAGCGACGCAGTCACAGCCGGCGCCCAAACACAGATGTGGGAAGATAAATGAAGGGGTCTAGACGGAAATGTCAGTGGAAAGGAGAGCTACCATCACTCAGGGCTGAAAACACAGTTAAATCACTGTCAAAAGGCTATTAAGTACACAAGATGGGGACTCCTGGTTCTGGAAGGAAAAGAACACCTGTGAAAGACCGATTTTCTGCAGAAGATGAAACTTTGAGTAACATTGCCAGAGAGTTGGATGAAAAATCTGACAAACAGTATGCTGAAAATTATACACGACCTTCATCTCGAAATTCTGCCTCAGCAACAACCCCTCTAAGTGAAAACTCATCCAGACGACGAAGTGGGGACACCAGCAGCTTAACAGATCCAGACACCTCATTAAGTGAATTACAGGAATCTTTGTCTGAAGTGGAAGAAAAATACAAGAAAGCCATGGTTTCCAATGCACAGTTAGACAATGAGAAGAACAATCTGATCTACCAGGTATATACACTCAAGGATGTTATTGAAGAGCAGGAGGAACAGATGGCAGAGTTTTATAGAGAAAATGAAAAATCAAAGGAGTTGGAAAGGCAGAAACATATGTGTAGTGTGCTGCAGCATAAGATGGAAGAACTTAAAGAAGGCCTTCGGCAAAGAGATGAGCTTATTGAGAAGCATGGCTTGGTTATAATCCCCGATGGCACTCCCAGTGGTGATGTCAGTCATGAACCAGTGGTTGGAGCCATCACTGTTGTGTCTCAGGAAGCTGCTCAGGTCTTGGAGTCAGCAGGAGAAGGGCCGCTAGATGTAAGGCTATGAAAACTTGCTGGAGAAAAGGAAGAACTGCTGTCATAGATTAGAAAACTGAAGCTTCAGTTAGAAGAGGAACGACAGAAATGCTCCAGGAATGATGGCACAGTGGGTGACCTGGCAGGACTGCAGAATGGCTCAGACTTGCAGTTCATCGAAATGCAGAGAGATGCCAACAGACAAATTAGCGAATACAAATTTAAGCTTTCAAAAGCAGAACAGGATATAACCACCTTGGAGCAAAGTATTGGCCGGCTTGAGGGACAGGTTACAAGATGTAAAACTGCTGCTGAGAATGCTGAGAAAGTTGAAGATGAACTGAAAGCAGAAAAAAGGAAGCTACAACGAGAGTTACGAACAGCACTGGACAAGATTGAGAAGATGGAGATGACCAACAGCCACCTGGCCAAGCGGCTGGAGAAGATGAAGACCAATAGGACAGCACTTCTGGCCCAGCAGTAGGAAGACCGCCCTTCGGCCTGGGTGCTGCTCCTTGGGGCCCTACCTAGAGGAACTGACTTTTTTGTCCATTGACACAAACCCCTTTTAGTAGTGTTTTGAGTTTTGTCGTTAAAACAGCCACCTTTGTATTTTGTAATTTATGAGCGAATGAAGCCGGTTTGAATCTTCGTGAATGAAAAAAAAATGATTTTAAGACAAAAAAAAAAATTTATTGCCATAAATTAATCCAGTAGGTATATCTAAGAAAGCACGCATCAGTTGGTTAGGGCAATAAGCGCCTCTACCACATTGCCCATGTGTCCCGCAAGCTGCGTTCTGCTGCTGCTCGAGGTATCTCCATCTCAGTCATTATCAGTTCCAGATCTTCCTTCTTGATAGTGACTTTTGCCAGTTCTTTCTCCCGCTCCTGTTTGGCTTTCTGCTCCCGGGACCTTCTGTCTCCAATCACAGACATGGCCGTCTCCAGACGGTACTTACATAGTACCTAAGTAAGTGCAACACCAGGCTGTGTCTTTCTATCACGGATTTCCACCTGGACACGTGGAACCCAGCCTGGCCTGTCTGCACAATCCTGACTGGACTCCTGAGCTTCATGGTGGAGAAGGGCCCTACCCTGGGCAGCATAGAGACGTCAGACTTCACGAAATGACAGCTAGCAGCACAGAGTTCAGCCTTTAATTTAAAAGATAAAGTCTTTTGTGAATTATTTCCTGAAGTTGTGGAGGAAATTAAACAAAAACAGCACAAGACGAACTCAGTAGCAGACCCCAGACTCTCCCCTTGCCAGACGTGGTTCCAGACAGGGAGACACACCTTGTCCAGAACGGGATTCAGCTTCTCGACGGGCACGCGCCAGGGGCCATCCCAAACCTCCCGGGGCTCCTGCAGGCCAACGGGCACCGCGGACTCCTGGGCGGCGACCTGGCGAACTTGTTTGTTGTAGTCGGGTTTGCAGCCTTCGCCTACACCATCAAGTACGTGCTGAGGAGCATCGCGCAGGAGTGAGGCCTGGCACCGAGACCAAGGCGCCACGGAGGGCGCGTGGCACGAGCGTGACCTGGGCCGGCCGGACACGTGCCCAGCACAGGCAGACCCACCAGGCTCCTGGGTTTCGGTTTTAAAAACCTAGAAGGGAAAGCAAAAGCCAAAATGTGTGACTGGGCTTCGGAGGAGACTGGAGACTCAGCCCTGCCCTGGCCACGTGCCGCCCGAGCTGGCGTGGAGGGGCTGCTGGCGTGCTGGTTTTGTAGCTTATCTTCTGTGTTGTCTTTGGATCTGTTTTAGTGAACCCGTTTTTCATTTAAAAAAAAAAAAAAAACAAAAAGAACAAAAAAACAACTTCCACATCCTCAGACCAAAACCCCAGCAGATCCAATCCATCAGCCAGGCCTGTGTGCTCTTCTGTTTAGACCCCGAATTCCTCCACATCCCTGCTGCTCCCCTTCCCCCCAACACGCTCCCTGAATTCCCAGCCCAAGACACCATGTGGATTTCCTGACAGCAGCTGCCTCCCTGCTCTCTGAACTCCCGTCCTCAACCCCAGGCCTACTGCCCACGACAGCCGCCAGAGGGCGCCAGCGAACAGCCGAGCCAGTTCACGTCCCTCCCTCCTTCCCTCCTCTGCCCAGAATCCTGGGCTCCCACCTCCTTTAGAGCAAAAGCCCAAATCTTCCCATGGCCCATAAAAACTTGCGCTATCTGCCATATCCCCTCCTGCCCTCACTTCCACGCCCGTCCTCACACTAAGCAAAGAAAAAAAAAAAAAAGTCTATACTACACATAGGAAAAAAAAAATTAAAGTCTATACTACACATAGAAAAAAAATAATGAAATAAATATTAAGGGAGCTGGGAGAAATTGTTTTTAGAGCAAGAAATGAATACTTACCCACCTAACATGCCTTTAACAAAAAAGGGTGACTTAATATAGTTCCACATGAGAAAACACTGAATAATTTGGTTACCAACAGAAACTTCTTGAGTATACTTCAAGAAGAAATATTTGTGTGTGTGTGTGTATGTATATAAGCTTAAAAATGTAAAAGAAAGATACATGATTTGGGAATATCAAATCCTGGTGGGCACTGAACTCAAGAAACTAAGTAGGCCAGGTGCAGTGGCTAACACCTGTAATCCCAGCACTTTGGAAGGCCAAGGCAGGCAGATCACTTGAGTCCAGGAGTTTGAGACCAGCCTGGACAAAATGGCGAAAACTTGTCTCTACAAAAAATATAAAAATCAGCCAGACATGGTGGCATGTGCCTGTTGTCCTAGCTACTTGGAATGCTGAGATGGGAGGATCAGCTGATCCCAGGGAGGTCCAGGCTGCAGTGAGCTGTGATCACCCCACTGAACCCCAGCCTGGTGACAAAGTGAGACCCTGTCTCAAAAATAAAAATAAAAGATAAAGAAGGTGACATGAAGAAACTAAAGAATACCTCAATGCATTAGATGAAGATTGAACATGCTATCATAAATTTATATTAAATTATTAAATAATAATTAGCACAACTTAGCGCACATTGATTTGGAAAGCAAGATGATATGGAAATTTTCTGGCAAAAAACCATATATAGTTCTTCCCAATATAGACCCCTGCTAGGCATCTAAACAGAATAATATCCACAGGAGTAGAGAAGTTTATAAAAGAGATGCTCACAAAGTTCTAGGATCAAGTAGTTTAACAGGGATATTCTACAGTCTTTTCAAACATCACATAAATCAATGCTGCTAACTGAATTTAAGAACATTACAATGGAAGTATTACTTCTAAATAGGTTATGAAGATCAAATGGAACATTGGTACCACAAAGTTCCAAATGTTGTCCAACATAGAATATTACAGAAAAATCTCATTTCTGCCTACACATTAAAATACTAGCAAATTCTAATTGATTATTAAAAACAACATATAATGACAATTGCAATTTATACCTGGAATTCAAGAATGATTAAATATTTGAAAGTCAACTGACAGTTCATCATTTTTATAGAGATAATAGAACAGTCCTTGATCATGTCTATATATGCAAAAATGTCTATTTAGCAGAATTTAAGATTTGTTACTGTTAATTTAAAACCATCTAAAATAGGAATTGATAGATTTTTTCAAAGATAGCAAAGTCTTTTTTTAAATTCTCATGGAAAACAGACTAGAGGCTATTTATTTTTAAGCTAACTTCAACATTGTATTTGATTCTGTCACTTTTTAAAGCTAGAAACAATTTTGCAAAGTGTCTATGAAAGAACAAACATTAGGCTGGGTGCGGTGCCGAGGTGGAGAGATCACCTGAGGTCAGGAGTTCGAGACCAGCCTGGCCAACATGGTGAAACCCCCATCTCTACTAAAAATACAAAAATTGGCTGGGCATGGTGGCCATGCCTGTAATCCCAGCTACTCAGGAGGCTGAGGCAGGAGAATCACTGGAACCCAGGAGGCGGAAGTTGTAGTGAGCCGAGATTGTGCCACTGCACTCCAGCCTGGGCAACAGAGCAACACTCTGTCTCAAAAACAAAACAAAAAAAATGAACAGATAAGAACAGCCAAAACCCAAGAAAGAAACACAATGAAGGTTTCTGGTTCTGCAAAACATTAAAACACATTATGATCCTAATTAAAGCAGTATGGTGTTGACACAAAAATAGGTGAACAGATCAGGACAGTAGAAAAATCAGAAATACACTAAAATGTGTAAGAGATGTTATGCAATAAAAACCACAGAGCCTTTCTTAATACTTTGTGTTTGAGAATTGAACATGCCCATAACAAAGATGGAAATGAATTCATTCTTCACAAGCTATAGTAAGATCAAGGATAAATGAAGGAGAAATCTAAATGGTAAAAAAAAATGAAAACATACAAATAGTTGAAAACATTGGTAAATACTTCTACAAGCGGTGAGAATAAATCAGGCTTATGACTCAAACCAAAAAATATTTTTAAATGATTACAATATAAAATCAGAATTTTGTGCATGTTAGGAAACACCATACGCCTAGTAAAAAGGAAAATGCCAAATGGGCATCTTTTTGCACCTTCTGTAACACAAAAAAAAGGAAGCACACAATGTCTGTTTGCTCCAGAAAATAAGAAAGCTTTCAAAACATACCCATGGTTCAAGGACAAAAGAGCAATGTAAAGACTCCCTTACATAAGATGGGACAATTTGGCTGTGCACAGTGGCTCACGCCTCTAATCCCAGCACTTTGGGAAGCCAAGGTGGGTGGATCACCTGAGGTCAGGAGTTTGAGACCAGCCTGGCAAATATGGTGAAACCCCGTGTCTACTAAAAATACAAAATTAGCCGGGCGTGGTGCTGGGTGTCTGTAATCCCAACTACTCAGCCAGCTAAGGCACGAGAATCACTTGAATCTGGGGGGGGCAGATGTTGCAGTGAGCCGAGATCACGCCACTGCACTCCAGCCTGGGTAACAGAGTGAGACTCGGTCTCAAAGAAAAAAAATGGGGGGGGGGCGGATTATAATTTGAGTTCAAAAAATAGATATAGACTGCAGTATATGGACTCTCATTAAATACACAAAAAATCAGGTTAGAAAAAATATTCACATTTTTTTGTTTGCTGAGGCCACACTGTCATTATTAGGACAGTTGTTAAAAGGGAGAATCAAGCTTTTATTCTTCCTTTCCTGAGAGGCTAGTTTTTAATGTAAAAGAGAGCTCATGAGAAAACAATTTTTAATAGAAGAATGAAAACTAATACATGTGGAGAAAATAATTAGAAAACCACTATTTGGCAACTGTCACTGAGATAAGTGAAATCAGGAAATAGTAATCAATAAATACTGAACAGTTATATGAAAGGAACAGGCAGGCATTCCTGGACCCCTCGATCAACCTTAAAGTGGTAAAACCACACATGTGTATCCAAATGTCCTAGCTGAATTGAAACATGCCGGTAGCTTAATATACAGAGTGATTTTGAAAATTTAATATCCAGCCAAATACTTCATTGATAATATTATATCCGTCACCTATTGAAACAATATTTTTGGATACATTTGCTTAAATCATTGTAATCAATTCCACGTTTTTTCTTTTCTATTGCTACTGTGACATTTAAAATAACACACGTGGCTCTCATTTTATTTCTATTGGACATTGCTACCTGAGAGGACTCTTCAAAATTCAGGCTGCCTCTATTCCCACTGGGAGCAAGAAAATTCAAGATGCCTCCTTAAAAGAGGCTAGGAAAGTGCGAAATCTGAAATGTTAAAATAATTATCATAGTGTTTCCAGTTGTAAATATCACACATATTACTCATAAATGGACATAATCTTTGGATACAGTTAAATGGGAAAGTCCTCGGGGGCGCCAGGTATCAGCACAGGGCAGAATCCGTGCCAGAAAAGGACTGCAGGGAAAGAGCCTGGCCTTACTGAGCCCCTGGACGGATTGCATCCCCCGTCACTCAGGACTGAGGGGGCGGGGCCTAAGGCCCTATCCAATCGGGCGCTGGGAAGGGGTCTGCACTCTCCTGCGCACGGCGAAGGGAGGGGCAGCTTCCGGGACCTGGTGGGGTCTTCGTATTAGGCAGCGCGGACCTGGTGGGCTCGGTGCGTCCCCGCTGCTCCTTCCGCTTATCCCTGGGAGGGCCCAGTGGTTCCGCGGCAGCGTTTGTTGCTGTGGGACGTGCTGGTCCCGGAAGGTCCTTAGGGAGGACTCCAGACACCGGAGACTGGGTAATGGTGAGTTTGCCGGCCGGGGGTCTGAGGGGGGCGGGGAGCCGGCCGGAAGCGGTTGCGGCCGAGTTCGCCGGCCGGGGGTCTGAGCGGGGCGGGGAGCCGGCCGGAAGCGGTTGCGGCCGACCCGGGCCTCCCCGCGGTGCGGACCCGAGTTTCCGCTGGTGCCTCACGGCCTGGGCAGCACCGGATGGGGCTGGGCCGGCAGCCAGACCCCGGGCGGCCTGCCGTGTCCGTGCCCCGCCGCGCCGTCCAGGCCCGGAGCCCTTTCCTGGCAGCTGCGCCCCTGCAGACCCGCGTCTCCCTCGGCTTGCGCGGTGCCCACGGGAGGCCCCGGGGAGAGTCCCGACTTGGCGTCTGGGGTTCCTGTGTGGGAGGAACCGTGGTCCGGGAGGTCCCCCACACCGCCTTTCTCCTGTTAGAAATAAAGCGGAGGCGCCGTTAAAATATTAGAGTCTGTTTGCGCAGGGGCGTGAGTTAGGAAGCCACCGTTGTGGTTTGCGGTTTGGGGAAGGAAAGGCTTTTTGTGAGGAACCCGAGGAAGCAAACCAAGGTGAGTGAGAGTGTACAGCGTGCAGCCGCCTCCCGTAGGCCGCGGAGCC